GTTAACATGGTACAGGTCAGCAGTAGCCTAGATGTAATGTGTTAACATGGTACAGGTCAGCAGTAGCCTAGATGTAATGTGTTAACATGGTACAGGTCAGCGGTAGCCTAGATGTAATGTGTTAACATGGTACAGGTCAGCGGTAGCCTAGATGTAATGTGTTAACATGGTACAGGCCAGTGTTAGCTTTGATGTAATTTGCAAACATGGTACAAGTCAGTAATCCTAGTATAGGTCATTGGTGGTAAAGATATAACAAATTTAAAACACAGTATAGGTCAGAAGCAACCTAGGCATAAATGTAAAACATAGTACACATCAGCAGAAACCTAAGCATGAGTAAAGAAAGCAAAGTCCAGCAAAAATCTTGATGAAACAGACATGAATAGGAACATCATAAGTCAGTGTGGATGTCTGGATAACAAACACATGTTAAAAGGAACTGGTAGAAGAGCAATAGAGTTTTACAGCTATATAGAATTTCACACTGCCTTAGGTTAGAATAACAACACAATTGTGCTTGACATGAATATAAAAAAACTACATTTAATTCAAAATATTATCAAAAATAGTATTTAAACTGAATAATTTTGAAGCTATCCAGACTATTATTTTGGTAATGCAATATTTGAAACACTAAATTACTTACTACAATTAGGTACATTAAATTGTTTGTCTATAGATCGTGTAGATATAAATGAAAGTAGAAGTGTCTAGAAAGGATGTCTATCAGCAATATCCTGGTGGTAATAAATGAGGATACTTGCAGGCCCATTTTTCTAGCTGGGCTGATGTAACATTCTCAACCAGAAGATCATCTATGGCACTTAATTCAGCTTCACGATCCTGAAATAATAACAACAATAAAAACAAATTAATTTCATCAAGTTTGACTTGGTTTGTTTTACATCTTGTGCGAAGCTATTCGAGGGCTATCTCCACTATCCATTCCTAATTTAGTAGCTATAGACTAGAGGGGAGGCAGCTGGTCAACATCACTCACTGCCAACACTATGTCTAATCTTTTACCAATAAATAATGGGATTGACCATCACATTATAACACCCCCTTGGCTGAAAGGGGCGAGTATGTTCAGTGATGAGAATTCGAATCTGCAACTTGTGGATTGTAAGTCGACCGCCCTAACCACTAGGCCTAATTTCATCAAGTAGCTAAATCTGTTCTCTTGTTATACTTGCATTTTTATTCTTTGGTTAAAAATCAAGTTCGTTTTTTCAGAGATTTGTACTACCCTCTCTAGCCATCCCTAATTTTGAACTGACAGACTAAAGGGAAGGCAGCTAGTCAACAGTATCCACTGTCAATTCTTTGTTCCTCTAATCAAATACTGGGATTTGATTAACTCTTTTAAAACATCCCCATGGACCTAAGTCTGTTTTTTACAGTCGCGAGATGCAATTCAAGAACACTTACATTAACAGCCTTGCATGCTAATTAAGTAATTGGCTATGCCCAGTCCTAAAAGATGAAAGCTGGACATCCTATGTTTGGTATAGTATTTTTTATCAACCTTGATAGAAATTTATTTTAGATGTAGAAATGCTAGATTCATAATCACAGTAAAATACTTTTACATGAAGTTGGCTTGCAAAGCAGTGCCTTAGCTTATTGCTAAAAGCTACATAATATTTTAATAAAGATATGTTGAATTAAACAAAAGGTGTATAATTTTAAATGCATATGGTAAGTTCAAACTTTTTGACAGCATAAACACATCAGAAACATCTCACTTTACCAGGTTTCTTCAATAACTATGATAACAACATGCCTATTAATTAACTAAAAATAAAAAGTTCATATTAACCAAATATTAAAAAGATCTAAAAAATGAAAAGAGAGAAATTGAGATAAACAAAATATAAAAAAAGAAAAATTTTACAAACAAGCAAATATCAGTTGACCACAAAGGAAAAAAATAAAATATTTCTTTTTATTTAACCCTAGAATTACCAATAGGATTCTAGGTTACTGAAACTAATTTTTCTAACTACTCATGCATCAAATCTCTTTCTGGCCTATGACGTTGTTGGTTAGAGGATCCCTAATAATATACGAGTCGTATTAAATAAAATAAAATAAAACAAAAATATTATCAATATTGCAATTAATCCCACTAATTCATACAGAGATTTACTTGTATTTTATAAGATAAAATGCACGATTTCACCCTATTTATTTCATCATTTATTTTTTTATACTGAGTATTGTAACTAACAAAAACATAAATTACTTAATATGATAAAATATGTGGACCCAAAAAAATAATAGTGAACAATATATACACAAATAAATTGGGACCCCCACGAGTTAAGTTACATTTATGGGTACAAAATAGTTTTAAATTTAGAAAACCTCTATGATTTGGTTGAGCTTTAAAAATGTATGTTTTCTTTAATTAAAAGATGAGACTGATAAGATATAGTTCTGAATTTGTCTAAAATTGTAGTTTTAATCATTTTTTAGAAGCAAGAAATCAGAATTATATATAAACTTAATAAGGAATGCTATAGGAAACTGTATCTGGTGTACAGTACATAAAGGTACAAACTCAAAATGTGAAATAGTCAACAAGAAAGTATTGCCTAACATTTTTCTCTATTTTTAAAGCACAGACATAAGTTTTAACGAATTGGTTGAATACTTTAACTGCACTTCCAATTCTCTAACTAATAATAGTGACTCGAGATGATAATACAAGTTGGATAGGAAGTATCTTCAGACACTTTCTTCATTACTGTTAAGGCAAGGTCAAAGAATTAACGAAGTGAACAAATACTTTTACAAGTGAAATGGTCAGTTAGTTTCTGGAATTCTTTGTTTGTTTGTGGTTAAGCATAGAACTACACAATGGGCTATCTGTGTCTGCCTACTGCAGGTATCTAAATAAGATTTTTAGAGCTATAAGCCTTCACATTTACTGCTGTGGAGGGCATAAAACTATTTTGAGAAATTTCTCGTTATACATCATATGGAGAATACTTTCTTCAAGCTTGTGCATATTCATTTAATTTTATATTGTATAACTACTGGAGCAGCAGGTTAGTAAAACAAATATAAAATATGGGCATAAACTTACATTCTATGTCATTATGACAACAGACTATCAAACTTCTTTGCTGGTCTTATCTTCCATTCTACAGTTTTCACAAAATTATAAATATTCTTTTAGCATTGTTCACACATTTAATCCAATGCTGTTCATGGGGAGCAGGTACAGAATATTTCTAACACAGTTACATGTAATAGTATACCTAAAGGTAAGTCTATAAAACACTTATGTTTGCTGCATGTCATACAGAAAAATAGCTCACAATAATATGGTATATATTTGTAAAGTGAAAATTCTAATCAATTTTGTACTCCTTCACTGTTATATACACTGGGTAGCCACTTTATTAGAACTTATGTATCCTTTCAGACATAGCTGCAAATATAAATTAGGTTGATCACAAGATGTATCAGGTGATCCCTATAGCATCCAAAAGAGGCATGACATCAGGTGCAAATCATGCAGGAGCCACCGAGGCCAAGACTGATTCACTGGTGGGCTGTTTCAAGAATTCAGTTATTTGAGTTTATCAGCAATGTAAAAAGTTGAATAAAATGTTACAACAAATGGTCAATGGCAGTATTAGACCATTACATAAACCACTGTACTAATAAGAACTGGTGCAAGGTCATGTAGCAAAATGAATCACACTTTATCCTTTTTTGCATAAGTTGGAAAAAGACAGATTTAGAAAATGGCACATGAATAACACAGCCCTCTTGTGTGGTTTCAACTGTTCAGGTCTCTGGTGGTGGAGTCATGGTTTGGGGCATGTCTTCCTGAAATACCCATGGTACCTTTAGAAGGCAGAATGAATGCCACAGCTTACTTCATCATAATTTCTGATCAAGTGCATTCAGTGATGCTTCATGTGTGTACACTGATGGGGAATTCTACTTCCAAGATGGCAGTGCTTCTTCCATCTGCTACGCCCAAATTGTGGATGCATGGTTTGAGGAAAGTGACAGACATCAGTCATTGTCCATAGTCATCACAATCCCTGGATGTCAATCCAATTGAGCATCCGACATGAATCTGAAAAAACACGTTTGCCATCATGATCTTCTGCCTATCTTGCTCCATGAATTGCAAACAAATTTCATGACCGAATGGGGAAAATCCCAGAGTAGATTCTTTGCCATGCTGTATCGTGATTGTTATTTAGGCAAAAGGAGGCCTAGCATGTTATGTGGTACAGGTCCTAATAAAGTGGCTAGTTAGCGTATTTAATTTTTTGTGTATTATTATTATTAAATCTACTTCTAATTGATGATATATTGAGTATTGAAATAATCAAAAATTCAATTTGTGTAAATTACATATGACATGGTATGATTCAAACAATACAGACCTTCAAAGTTCGTTTCAAAGCTAAATATTGTAGCATTAGTTGACTTTCTCTCTTGTTTTCTGAGGCTTCAAACATTGTTCGCCGTCGTCTCACATATATATCTACTCCATCTACTGTGAGGTTTGCCTTCCTAAGTACACTGGCAAGCTGAACAAGCTCATCCTTATCCAGGTCTGATTCTGTAAGAAATTGAAAATAGCTGCGTATGAGATGTGGTTAACATTTTTTGGATAAAAACTTCCTCTAGACCTAAGAGGGAGAAGACAAAAGTAGCATTATGTTGATGCAAACTTGGAAATATACATGTAAAGTCACAATAAGGCAGTATTTATGGTTTTATCATTATATCGCTCATCTGAACTCAGAAAAGGTGTATTAAACTTCAAAGTTTAAGGATAATATAAAAATACTTTATTCACAGACATGAGCAATTTAAAAATATCATTTATAGCACTGTTTTGCTCATTGAGAAAAATGGTATTGGCACTCCAGTGATAAAGCTATCTAAGATTTTTATGACTGTCAAATATACTTCCAAAGTTGCCATCAAGGTAATGCCCATAAAATTTAATTAGTGTCTAAAACTTTATGGGAACATCTTCTATTCCCAGCGACTCATGCTTCTACTTTTGCCCATCCAACGTTCCATGACTTGTGAACCAAGCACGAGTTATCTCTACCATCTACTTAATCAATACACACTCAACCCGTAGTTACAACCAAGAAATTACTAGTAAATATATATAATGTTGCACCCTTCTTCACTCTGCTGTCAAAATACTTGAAAACATTTTTTGGGTATTTCTGAAGACTTTTTTTTTTGGTATGGTAGTTAAACAACAACAAATTAATTTCTGACATGGTTCTAGATCGAGTTCCAATAAAATTATAACATTTGATAATCAAACGAGAATAGATGTTAACAAGAAAATGTGATACTTAATAGTGGAAATGATTTATTTAATCACAGGATGCAATTAATATGAAAATTATTCTTCTACACACTTCACATTTCTTAAGCCTAACTTACCTTCTGATGCATTAATTTTGAAAGTGACTTCATTTTTGCTTGAGGCCAATTCTGGAGATTCTACAACAGACTCTTTGCGTTTTAAGGGAGGAGTTTTTACACTTCCTGTCCTCCTTTTTCCCAACATTGAGACCCCCATGGTAGGCTTCAGTGGTGTTCGGGGAGTGTCAGGTAGCTCATCTGAGGATGATTCTGTCACTAGTGGCAAACTGATGGTGATCTGTGGACGAATCCTAGTTTCCACATAGTAGCGAGAACTACTGGACGAGGAAACAACACTTCCAGAAGCACTGCTATTCAAACTACTATTGCTACTAGTCTTCAAGAACTCCTCACTTATATCTGGATATGCTGTTAACTCCTCTAAACGAGATGACTTCAAGGATTCTTCAGAATGTCTCAAACTAGAGCCAGCATCTAAATGCTGTGGAGATTCTGGAATTAGAGGATCAAAACTGTGGTCTGTCTGTACAGCAGCCGAATTCATTAATTTTCGGTCAGACTTTGGAGAGCCAAATATTGCCCTACCAAGTTTGGGGGAACCAAGAAATGTTCTGTCACGTGAAGATGTAACGTTTTTATTTTCACCCTTTTTTCTTTCTGCTTTCGGAGATTTTATCTTTCCACCAAAAATATGCTTTCTTTCTTGTTTAGGTGAAACAATTTTAGAAATTTTTGAAGAACCAAAGAGTCGAAACATGTGTCCAGATTTAGATTCATTTTGTTTGGAGTTTGATTCCACTCCACTAGAACTTGTATGGACAGCTGAAGTCCTATGTAAAGAAATACCTGTTGATGGAAAAAATGAGCCATTTAAACCTGAGGTGTCTCCTGGTATAGTTCCTAGTTGTTGCTGCATAAATTCTTTCCTCAACCGAGAGTCAGCTGTATCCACAGCCATTTGAGTAAGGTCTTGTTCTGACCCATGCCTTGATGTATATAGGTGATGAATTTGCTGACTGGTTGCTGTCTTTGGAAAATCATAAGGAACTTTACTTCCATACATTCTCATTTCTGTTCTAGAGCCTGATCTATTTAATTGTGGAGCAATGTTAGGCTTTCCACCTGGTTGTCTCTTTTTTCCATAGAGTCGGTTGTATTCTTTGTCTAACAAACTGACATCATGATCTAGTTGTCCCACATCTCTATAACTGGTCCCTTGGAAACGCCCTTGCAAATCAGCATCACTAAGAAATCTATGATCCCGACTGGTGGAGCTACACTGATTTCTGGCAGGTTCCCATTTACAAGACATGTGTGTAGGTTTGCTGCTACCCTCTTGAAAACTATGGTTTGGAGCTGAAGATTCTGACTTAGCTCTTTCTTTTGCAAGTTGATCAAATGAACCTGATATCTTTGCAACATAACCAGGAGCAGGAGAAGGGTCTCGCAGGCGAAGCCTTTCTAAGGAACCAGAGGGAGTAGTAGTACCTTTCTGAGAAAGGCTGTTGTAAGACCCTGCCATTCTGGCCACAAATCCTGGACTCATTTCTTTTTCAGCAGATTTCTGGCGACCTAGTGAGTGATGAAAGCCACCAGAAAATCGGTTTGTCCGAGTATCCAAAACCTGTCTTCCTTCTGCTCCGGGGTAAGTTCCTAATCCTGGCCAAGGATACTGTGACTCTAAGCTTTGTTTTTGGTAAGTATCAGTGTTACCAAGTTGTGTATTGGTAGAACTAATCCCATTTGGCCTACTGGAAGTCACGGATGGAATATTTTGTCTTTGATCTCTCTGAAAACTTACCTCAGGCTTCATAGAAATGGACAGCGAGTTAATATTATTATTATTCACAACTATTCTATTCTTATAACTATCGTACATTGAAGATGAGTTCGAAGATACAGAGCTTAGGGAACTACTTGTTTGTCTTCCATGGCTACTATGTACTGGTTTTGAAGGGTAAGAAGGTGAGGATTTTTTTGAAACAGATGCAGTGCCTCCTCTTCTGGGTCTATGGATATTGTACAGTTTTTCTGAATGATATGAGTGGCTTCCTGTTTTGCCACTGTCAGAAGCGAAGACAGATTCAGGTGAATTAATAGATGTAGAGTTTACATTACTACAGCTTGTTCTGTTACTGGTTGAATTGGACACTGTTTGAGGTGAATTAATTAATGGAGAACTTGCAGTGCTACAGTAAGGAAGTAATGCAGAATTTGGTGGAAAGGTTGGTTGTGAAGTCACAATTGTACGAGACATCACTTTTTCAAAGTGGTTTAAGAAACCTGATTTTGTTAAATTGACTGAAGATGAGTTTAAAGATGAACTTGTTACATTGTTATCAGAAATATTACGTAAATTTGCTACATCATCACCACCACTATTAGATACACCTAACCGTGATGAGTTTACTGATTCTTCATCACCATGATGAGACTGTAAAGAATCTTCTAAACTTTCCGACGTTGACAATCCTGATGAAAATGATCCCGATAAAAAAGAGGGTTCATGCTGATCCATGTGAAAGACTCGACGATTATTTCCTGGACTGCTTTCTTCACTCTCTTCTTCAGTCTCACTGAAGTAAGCATCTGCAATGATAAGCATTTACTGTGAGTAAAATTTTACTTAACTACAAATTGGGAAATGATCCTATTACAAACAAAAATCATAATAATTCAAAAACTAATAACAACAACCACGTTTTCTGATTTTGATGTATAGTCCTTTACTCACCACTAATAACCTAAAATACTTTAGGTGTTTGGATGAGATGTGGCATAGTGTTATAATTTATCATACATTATTATTCAGTGGACTACTTAATTATTCATTTATTTGTTAACTTGTTGAAGAATTCCTAGTGATTGTAGTCATATCAGTATTGCTAACATTAATCATAATCACTTGTGTCTGTAATAATATCAGTACTATTAACACCAATACCAAGCTGTGTATTGTGAATGTTCATCACAATCATTAGTGTTTGTAATAATATTGGTACTATTAACACCAGTTCCAACCTATGTTCTAATAATGTCTACACTATTAACACCAGTCCCAAGCTGTGTATTGTGAATGTTCATCACAATCATTAGTGTTTGTAATAATATTGGTATTATTAACACCAGTTCCAACCTATGTTCTAATAATGTCTAGTACTATTAACACCAATACCAAGCTGTGTATTGTGAATGTTCATCACAATCATTAGTGTTTGTAATAATATCTGTAAGTGAATTTTACAGAATAAAATAAATTAAAATCTAAAGTTATCTAATAATTCTAAGGTTATTCTATAATACCAGTCACTAGGTTAATTATGTTTAAATGTAAATACTTTTTGAAGAGTGAGATTAGAAAAAGTGTTCATTAACTAACTAAGTATTATAACTATATTTCTTCTGGCAGAAACTCTATGATGTAAATACTCAGTTAAGCTAATCTTAAGTGATGTTTTTAGTTAAGAGTGTAATGGTTGCATTAATTTTAATGAATCTTTATTTTAAAATCAGTTTCATGATTATTATTTCACCAGCATAATTAAAACTACTTGTTAACAGTAATTGAATCATTGCATGCCTATATCATATTTTATTTTAATTATAAATTGACCAACCTACGTATATAGCATGTTCACTTTGTATGATTATTGCATTAATTGATTCTTGATTGACTTTTGAATGGACATTTGTTTTAACTCTTGGGTACTCTATCATAGCTTTCCCATACCAGACATAAACAATTTTCTAATGTCACTGTAAAATTATTATTTTCAAGATCTTGGCTTTAGAACAGCAAGATACTGTAAACTACAAATGACAAATTTTATGTAAACATCAAGATTAATTAATGTTACAGACATGTCTAAACTTTCATTTGCATGTGCCACTGTTGACTGTAAATATTAATCCCAGTCACTAGCATTTGTAACAGTATCAGTTTGGTTTGAATTTCGTGAAAAGCTACATGAGGGTTATTAGTTTTGGCCATCCCTAATTCAGCAGTGAAAGACTAGAGGGAAAGCAGCTAATGCCAAATCATGGGCTACTCTTTTACTAATGAATAGTGGGAATGACCATCAGATTATAACATCCCCATGGCTGAAAGGACAATCACGTTTGATGACAGGGATTCAAACCTGCAACCTGCAAATTGAATTGAGCACCCTAACCACCTGGCCATGTGTAACAGTATCAGTGCTGGTAACAATTCCAAGCTGTGGATTGTGCATCTTTAGCACAATCACTAGTGTCTGTAAGAATATCAATACTACTAACACTAATTCCAGGCTGTGGGTTGTAAATTTTTGACTAGTTTCTGTAATAATATCAGCACTGTTATCACTAATCTCAAGCTAGGGGTTGTGAATGTTCATTGCATTCACTAATGTCTATTTCAATGGCAACTGCTAACACAAGTATCAAATTGAAGACTGAATGTTCACCACAGTCACAATTATTTGTACCAACATCAACTGCTAACGTGAATCCCAAACAGGAGATTGTGATGAAAATGTCAGTTGCTATTATTTGTTGTAACAGATACAGTACTGATATAACAAATTTAAAATTTGGGATTGTTAAAAAATCTCAGCAGGCCTGCTGATATGAGTGGGTGAGGTGGAGGGTGCAGAGAGGGCAATTGCCCAGGGGCTGGGCGAATGAAACCTGGTTATGCCATAAAGTCCGCAAAGCACCTTTAGGCTACAACTTCATTCAATCACAAAAAACATAGTTTTTGGCTTTTGACACTTGATACATTAAGAATGATTGAAATAATAATTTGAGTAGCAATTAATATGTACTTGTTACTTTATACAATTAATAGATATTTGTTGTTACTTTATTAATGTATTTATGTGTATACTTTGAGCTAAAAACGGCTGCTGCTATGAACTTGCTTTATTTATGAGCTTGTTGCTGTTCTAATTTAGGATCTTCTTTTTAATAAATTAAAAATGTTAAAAAAAAAAGAGAGAAAGGGGGCCAGTGCTAGCTCTTGACACTCCTGCATCTCAGCACACCACAAATAAAATGTTGAGTCTTGTACAGAACTGGTCTATTTAACAAAGAATTAAGAAATATATTGTTTCTTTTTCACTATTTTGATTCTAATTACCTTCAAATGTTATTAATGTTAGAATTAAAGTAAGAACTTCACAGAACAATAAAGATAATTAAGTTCTTACAATAAGACTGATGCTTAAGCTAACAAAGTTCATTAAATACATAAGAATTAAAATACGTACATGGGTAATAAATCTGACTATTTATCAGGTCAAAAATAGAAGCAGAAAAAAAATTATAAGAACAACTTGGCCTTTCTGTGACTTTTGACCTTGTGGTCATTTTGAATTGAATAAAATAGAAAGCTTTTAAGTTTTTTTTTACAGGTCTCACTATATAAAAAATAATGTAACACTTACTTGCCTATGACCATCAAGTGATAACCTGAAGTGACAGGTAATGTGACAATATACATGTCAAGGTTACAAAAATTAACTTACTTTCAGAACAGATAGCTTTGTCTAGTTCAGATCTATTGGTCGGCAAAATGGAGGAAGGATCAAAAGCTATTGCTGCAAGGCCAAGCTTGTTCAACCACCTAGAAAATAAAGTAATTTTGTTTCAAGTTCAATATTATCTACATATAACAAGTATTATAACAGGTCAGTAAGCACCATGGAAAGACTGTGAAAATTATATATATATAATATTTTATTTTATATCATGCACTTCTGGAAATTCCCCAATCAGTGACTGATTTGAGAAGAACATGTAGATTGGAAGCACTTTCTGTTTCAGTCTATTATTTATATTTTGTAGTGTATTGTTGAGTGAATTTGTACTTATTTTTATATACTTTAATGGAATATTAATTAATAACCAGAATGTTACATTGGTCTATTTTGAATATTCGAACAAGGGTTATCAGTGCTAGCCTGTTTGGCCAGCTTGACACTGTCCAGGAACAAAATCCTTGTTTAAAAACTCCATGAAATGGAACAAAGTTAGTGGCAGTTAGAAGGTGTTCAAACTAATAAAAGTTCTATTAACCTTGAACTGCAGTAAAGTGCTGAGGACATTAAAAGGGCAGGGACTTATTGAAAAAAAGAGGCACTTTTCAAACATCATAAGGCAAGCCATTTGGGTGGGTAGGGGAAACTATGGGGACTGTGGATTGCCTGTGTTACATATAGTGTAAAGAGATATATAAAGCAAACAGATCCTCTTTTACTCCTATTCAATTGGTCTTAAAAACACTTTTAGAATCTAAAACTACATAGCACTCTTGGGTATTAACACTTAAGAGCATACCACAATTATTTTTTTTAACTGCAAAGACCTTCAGAAATCCCGGTGTACCTTGCTTTTTGAAACTGAAATACTTGTTTCTTTTCCCCAATAACTCAAAGCAAGTAAGGTGTGGAATCAGGCATGTCTTTTAGTATTTGTTGAGATATTAAACTTAAAAAAAAAAGAGCCACTTTTGGGGCATAAGAGCAGGGATTTGAGCCCACTGTTTTATATATCATTCTGAAAACATTCTTAATTGGCTCCATGGTTTGTATTAATTTTTGTTATACTCTTATAACAAGTAAAGGTTTTACATCTCAAAACATACAAGTCAATCTAATTTTATATGCTTTAGAAAGTGGGTTACTAAATCACAGTGGTATTTTAACACTTTTCTATAAGTGTATGTTTTGTGTAATAATACATTCAGAAATTTTGGCTTCTTTACTCAAAAACTTAAATAATTTAAATTCATAATTAAATACATGCATTAAGTATATATAAGATAAATAATTTTATAGATAAATAATCAGTAAATAATACTTACTTTACCATATCTTGTTGAGAATCACTTGCAAAGTAAAATGTTGTTCCAGGATGATAAAGCTTGAATGCACTGTAATTAAGAATGCAGCTATTGTAATGAGATATGTTAAACAACCAAAGAAAGTATTAAAGCCTTTTATTGCACAGTAAGAGGTGCTTAACTACACTTTTCTACTGTCCAATACATCTGCTAAAAATGCCAATGGGAAGTAAGTTCAAATATTAACATATGGGATACTTACTATTTTTTAGATTTACTTTCTAGAGCTGGGGACACAGTGAAACCTGGGATGTAAACAAGACAATCAGCTTTCTCATTCTACAACAAAAAAGAAAACAACAGGAAATACATTTTTTTTATTATGATTTCAAAGGTATTTCTTACTTTTTAAGAATAGATTTGAATATTGTTTGTCTTCTTTGAAACCAGTTTTTGTTTAAATAATGTTGCATTAAAGCATCTTGTTAAAAAAACTGGTTATTCACAAAAACAAAATAGTACACATGTTACTCCATATTTTTCTCCACTTATTTTAAGTAGATTCTGATTCAACAGTGACTACAAAAATAAATGATATATCTTATAAACAAACACACACACACACACACACACGATTTATGTGACTAATACATTAAATAATGACTATTAATCAGGCTGTCATAAGATAACTTAATAATACATGTTGTATATTGATGATATTACTGTTAAACAATTCAAAAAGTTAATCATGAGGCTATTCTGTATGTGACAAATAGAAAACCATATAGTCTGCTTTAACAACTACATTGTGAAATATGCCTCAAGAACTTCGTAAATAAATAAATTTTAACTAAGTCAGTATTTTAGATTAACTCTTTCACTGCCAGATCCTTGCCATGGAAACATATTTATGGGATACATTATATAATCATTATAAAATGTGGTATTAACCATGAAGAAAGGGTGTTTTACTTCATACTTCGTAGAATTTACCGGTTTCAATTTTTAGATAACTTAAACGTTAAATCATGTATGTTTTTGTTTTTTACTGTGTATCTAAAAATAAACCTGGCATTGGAAAAGTTGTTTATTTGATGTGAGTGAAAGAGTTAAAATAAATTAATAAATGATGCATGGATTACTGCCCACAACATTCAACACTAATGCTGTTTAAAATATTAAGTAAGATAATTATTCTTTTTTAATGTAGAAAACATTTAGATATTCATACACATCCAAAAAGAACATAATACAAATTTATTTACATACATAAATACAAAATATTCTGAAGGAAGTCATATATTCGTGACTAACAGCAATAGGCAAACAAATATGTTAACCTGAAAGTGACATCTCGCTAAGTAAAAATATCGATGAACTATCCACATTTGTTCCAGAGTCAGTTGGATAACACTGTGGTTGGGCAATCATACAAAGGCTTGTTAGTGCTTAGAAAGCGTAAAATATTATTTTTTTTTCACAAATTCAGATTTAATGGGTTCTTTTTTCAATACAAAGTTTAATTCTGCAACAACTACATCATGTAGTATTTACAGAGAAAAAAGATTAGCAAATCCCAAGATATTCTACTACTCTATAACTCAGACAAAAGGTGTGTATACAGGGTGTTGTAAAATGAAGTAATTTTTTTTACGTTTTTAATAAATATTAAAAAAAGAAACTTTCAGCTTACAGGCTATGGTTTCAGTATTACAATATTTTATACTCTGTGTTAAAAAAGAAAAAGATTACTGCAGAAAGACTTTGAATTCGTAAGATTTATTCCATGACCAGGTAACAGAAATAATCTGAGTTATTCCACTAAACTGGTGTAAGAATGTATACAAGTTGCTTGATGTTACTAAATGAATAATTAAACATAGTAGCTACCGTGTCCTGATTGGTGGTTTATATTGAAACAATAATGCATTTATAGTATGCTTGTGCGTTAAAAGTAATTTTAAACCTTTATTACTTTGCTGTAATATATGATATTTTGTTCTAGAATTACTGGCTAATTAGTTAATTAAAAATGTTTAATAATAATCAGTCAATTTTTCAAATTGATATATTAGTATTTATTATTTAAATGGTAGCAAAGGGTACAAATATTACAATGCTTACTTCTTTGCTTTGATAGCAGTACAAGTAGTGTTTCTTCAATATAACCCAACATTTTGTCCAACGAGCCCCTGTAAGAATTCCATGTCGTTCTTTCTTATAATAAAGCCAACCTTCACAATCACCCATTCCTAAGTCTTTGCAAGATATTCTTCTGTTGGTTGCTAAAAAACAAGTTGTAGACAGTTAGTTATAAAAATTATACATAAACTAAAGTAAAACACTAAAACTGACACTTTTTTACATTTTTTAAAGCCAAGTTAAGTCTTAATATTTAAACACTTATATCTCTATTACCAACTCATAACGTGAAGTGTTTGAACATTACTTTTATATTTTCATTACAAATTGGATTAAATCATTTTGTAGGTATGAGTAAACACATGGTATCCTCCAGATAGAAATACCATTATACAGATACTCATTTTAAATTTTAAGTAAATTTTCCATTGGCATAAGTACTGAAAAAACATTAAGATATGTTTTAAGAACACACACACACACACACACACACACATATATATATATATATATAT